GATAAAGTAGATGTTGGTTTTTATTTTTATGTAAATAATAAACATAATTAAATTCTAGAAATAAAACTATCAAGTCTTCTAATAAATATTGAAAATATGCATGTACTAGGTACATAAGTATTTTATTTTACGAGGATTATAGTAGTTAACTACTACACATTATATGTGTGATAAAATCCACGGTTCGACACATCAGGCCACAGTTAACCTGATTATATGGGTTTTATTGCTGATATAAAAAGAAATCATCATATCGCAACGACATACAGTGCGTTATGAGGTGTTGCTCGTAATTACCATCATTATATCGTTTTTCTTTGGGAATCGTATGTAGGCTTTACATCATATTTATTTATCGTCTCTGATTATTATTGTTGAGGAGAAAAAGTTTAACATAATGTTAAAATAAATAATTTTATCGACTCATCATTGTGATACAATTTAACCTAAATTACACATGCCTCACGGTTTTTCTTTCAAATTGTAAACAACATAAAAAAGTCGTGAGATAAATTAGGTAATAATAAAATATATTGTAGTAAGTAACATTACCTACGTATATTGGCTGTAGTTTAATGGCTAAGTAGTAGGGGGATACTAGTTTCCATGACCGATTTAAACCAAAGCTAAGGCAAAACTAATGACAATACCTATTATAAATAGTATCATTGTTTCAACAAAAATAAGTAAACAACTAGCTCACGGCCTACTGTTAGTTGTTAGTTAGCCTTTGTTATATAGTTGAGCTTTTCTAACCTATAAATAAATACGTTCGTATTAAAAGTTTAAATCATAAGCGTGTGTGCTACTTTTTTGAATTGTAGACGATTAAACAGCAGGTAATTAATTATATCAAGTAGCCTATTCAAAGTTCAAATATTATTTCAAATTCAATATCTATTCATTGAATATTCAAAACGTTTTGATATCATTACCATTTTATTAAATTGAGATGAAAAGAGCTTCTCAGTGTTTTTAATACAAATACTGCTTAAACGAAATTGGAAAATGATTGGTATTATTAAGGAATTATTAATCAGAAAAGTAGGTTTTTTAATTCAACACTCAAGTATAAATTCAAGGTTTTAATTAATCCAAATATCGAACTTAAACCAATCACGGGTATTACTCTAAGCCGGAGTTTGAACCAAGTTTTGGACGGCATTTCCTAATACGGGTCTAAGATTAATGAACCGAGTTGGTACAATTTAAGGAGCTCATCTGTGAAAATTGTGATTATATTTTGTTTTGACACTTTTGTGACTTAAAATCAAGTAAGTAATTATGAATCTGAAGTACCTGTTTTCGGTGTTCTGGCTTAGCCTTTCGGAATTTTCACGATAAATGGATTTGGGCTTACCGCTGGTACTGGTTGTAGAGGTATTAATAATTAATTATTAACAAAAATTATGGTCCTTTAAGTTAATGGACAAAAACTTTTTACTAATTATTTTTTGTCTGTTAAAGGTTTAAAATAATTTCATGTCGCTTTTATCATACCTTCAGGCGTAAAGCTCATTTAGCCCGGCTATTAGAGCGTTTGGATATACGCTCTCCCAATGGTTATGGCGATGGCACTTAGAGGCGGCGGTGTTGACTCCGATCCCATTCTCACGTAATCAGGGAAGCCGGAAACTAATGGAACTGCCATTAGATTTCAAACACTGATTGCATGGCTTGAGGATTTATTTTTAAACGTACCTGAAGATCAGATGTTTATTTTTAGATTGCTGATTTTAAATCAATTAGCATTTTATTTATTTATTTTAAACTTAAATGCACATAGAATATTGTATGTACGGTCAACAGCACGTCAACGTAAATACTGTGGTATCTTACGTAGTTGCGATAGGGGCGACTTTGCAACGAAAATGTATAGCTTGATGTGCTGTCGACTGTACATAAGGCGGACTTTTCATCCAGTCAACCTTGAGTTGGTGTTTGCTTTTTTTCAGTTTTGTATTGAATCCTTTCTATGGCTATGGTTCTCTTAGATGAAGTAAAAGTACAATCAATCAATGCCTTCTTTCTGATCCGACCCTTGGGTGTATGTATCTTTAGTTGTGATATGGGTTAATTTTGTGCAACACATATTTCTGAGATTCAAGATTAGGTATGCAAGAATCCAATATAAAAACAAAGAAGAAACATGTATATTTTTGTAGTAGTATTTAATTAAATAGTTTGTCAAACCTAATATTTTACTGATACTCTCCCACGTTTCAATTCTAGTGGGTGCAAGTTTATTTCAGGAAGCGAATTTCTATTCTACTTTACGACCGCCATTAAACTGAATTGAAGTCATGATTTCGTCCAAACCGAGACGGAATTTTAAGAGAAAAGGAGAGGAATGAGCGAATAAATCTGTTTCGACGTGTGTGATTCCGAACAGAAAGATAAAAGTAAGAACGCGGTATTTTTGACATGATTTAGCCGGAGTTTCGTAGATTATGAGCATTATATAAGTGGCATGTGGGTATTAAAAAAACGGATAGTTTTAGATTAAGATCTGGTCGTGTGTCATGAATGGAAGATTGTATGAATAAATCTTACGCAAGAGATTCGTCGTAGAGATTTCCTTGTCTCGCTTGCAATCTGCATGGAGGCACAGCTTGAGGTGGTGTAGAGACGTTTATGGCCCTTAAAAGCCGACCTGCTCTTGCAATGTTTCCTGCTCGCCGCCGAATTGTGTTCGCATAACGTTTGTCGACTTTGCAAATTAGTTTTTGTATAAAACGATTTGGTTTGTCGCACTGCAATTTTGGTAGTGTAGGTAGATATTACGTGCACATTGTTGGAATTCTAACGTCCGTATTCACAAACATTACTATGAGGTCTTACAGTGTGCGTGGACACATAGGGTGACCATGAACCAATCACAGAGCTGCATTTAACGCTGAGTGTTCGATTTGCTGCTTCAGTTAAGCAAGCATCGTTTGTGAATACGCGCGTTAGTGTCAGTTTTACCTATTGCTGTTGGACCGATTTCTAAATAATTTTCTTGAAAAGGTATACTACACAATACCGAGTACTAGCTAGAATTCTATACTGAAACTGAAATTTTACCTTAACCTTCTTGTTTTACTGCGCAATACATACTAGATGGAAACATTTTGAAACTTCTCTTGACGGACAGTTCTGCGTCTCCTTCGTTTTGCTTCCTTGCTAAGGCACCAAGGCATAATATTAACTGAAAAGATCTTTTAGAATCTATTTTTCATCTTGTCTTGATTTGACGGTAATACAATATCTCGCCCGGTGGTGTAGCCTCGTCTTAGATGTTACAATCATATTATGTATATTTTACCTAAATGTAAATGTTAATAACTAACGTCGGAAACAAATAGAGACAATGTCTTAAATAAACTTGCATTTTAAGGCCTACCAGATTAAATAATTTAACAGATTGATAGCTTGATTGTTGTCTCTACTTTTTTTCCTTTCCAAAAAAGTAAGTTGATTAAATCGCGCCAATGCATCGTGTTTGGAATGCCTCTCAATTAGTGTTGTTGTGTCTGGCATGCTGCCGACTGCGGCCACCGCAGTTCAACTTCGGCGCATCTGCTCTGTGATCTGAGCGCGACGTCTATCTAGCTTATGCCCGCAAGCATAATCTGATTAACGGGTATCTAATTCACTAGAATAATACTTAGGCTAAGTTGCACCGCACCAACTTATTTTAACCGTAACTATAACGACAAATGGTGTTTTTGTATGGAGTTTGACAGTTTTGACGTTTGTTAAAGTTAAAGTAAGATTGTGCAACCTAGCCTTAGTAGCGTAGGCATATTTGTGCTACCCAAACATTTGAATAGCGCAATGAGTCTCTTCTGATCGTAACTAATTCTGTGATCATAATATTTTTATCAACAATAAGCAATATGCAAACGCAATTTATTCCTCTCGAGTCAAATGAGGCATACTCAGATTAGCAAGTTCAAGCCCTGTTTGCAAGCTATATTGTTCTCACAGAGAAAGTAAATTCAACAGAAACGAAAATTTTCTACATGGCATATTGCGTTATGTACAATAGGTAATGCAATGTTTGTTGCAAGCCTTTGTGGCACGGCTAAGTGCGAGAGGTATAAGCATCAAGGTGTGCAATATCTAGATTAAAAAATATCATTAAAGATGTACCTAAGCGTAATAAATGATGTATTTGCAGGATTTTAATATTTAGGATAAATATTTAATTTTGTAATAATAACGTTGGAAAAAATAATCACATTATTTTAACAACTGACAAATCCGGACAAACATGTCGGAAAGTATACTTAATTAAACAAACAAGACTGCGGGAAGCAGATGAAAAGGGTTGTTTGCCTTCAAAATAAACGCATACTCCGAAGCGACCCTTTGTCCCAATAAGAAAAATAGCTGAGGTGAAAATTTCGCTGGGCTCGCTTTTTATTGGGTGTTTATTCAAGCGTTTTCTTGTAAGCCCAGATAACGCCAATAAAATTTAATGAATCTCATTCGAAGTAAGTGGGAATAAAACATAGAAACAAATGAGGAAAATGCCATTACCGGGACATAATTTAAGATTTTCCGCAACATTTTTGGCACGCTACACTGGTTTAGAGCCTTGCAACCCGGCAACATTAACTTTATAATGGCGAATAACCTATTTTGTAGCCGAGTAGATTCGGGCTTGCTTTGTGCTGGAAACGATCCTTTTAAGCTACGAAAATCTGGAAAAATAACATTTCATGATCGCGTCTGGCCGTTACACGAAAACTACAGAGGAATTCGAACTTAAAATTTTTATTAAAACTTGTTGTTTACTGGCCAAGTTATTGCACTTGTAGGTACCTACTGTGAAAATAAAAGAAAATAAAAAATATTTACCATTTTATAATAATTAACTGTCACGTCCAGCTCTGCAGGGTTACTTTGTATTTTCTTTTACTGAAACATTTTTGCTGGATTAACAAGCTTTTCCACAATACCTCATTAGTGGCATTGGCTTTTACACTGACATCAACATTTCTTTTTTGCAGGTATTCACCGATAAAATGAGTACGACCCTGTGAATTTCGTCTCTCCATTGTTTGCATCATGAAAATTACCCTCTAGAATCTCAAAATGTATTTCAAAATGTCATCTGGAGGAAGGACAATGTATCTCGTGACTGTGTTAGTGCTAGTGAGTGTTGTTGGTGCAAATGTGAACTCTACGAGTGAAGTGGCAGGGTCGAGGATGGCTTGGATGAAGGGTCTGCTGGACCACCACGACTGGCTGGAGTTGTTTGCGAAGCAAAGCTTGGATCTGCCGAAACAGTGCGACGAAGACCTCAGGGCTTACCTTCAGGCGTTAAACGCTGGCGAGCTGTGGGCCTCTAAAAGTAAGTAAAAGTAATATTAACAAAATGACGATCGAGTCATGTCAGATGTCTCATTACGCTAGTATTTCTTATTCGTTATTATATGCTTTTGCACTGCGCGTAGAAATTATAAAGTATAACACCAGGGTCATTGTTTAATTAGGTTTAGTTGTTATACAGGGTGTTTCTTGTAAGGTGTCAAGCCGAAGGCAGGTGATAGGTGAGGACTAGACCTATCGATTTCACCCCCATGTATGTTCTACGATTTTTCGTAGTTTAGATGTTATCGTTAATTTTGTGATTTTTTCAAATTTCATGACCTAGTGGCTTAATTTCTTTTTTATCTTTTTTTTGGGTTGACTTTTCTCAGATTTCTTTTTTTTGACAGATTGCTTATTAGTTGCAGATATTTGAAAAAAATAATCACCTTCCTATCTTTGATGCAAGATACAAAATTTTTGCTAGAAACATAAAAAATATGCTTTTAGCAGAACATTCTAAAATTTTCAACTGAAATGTATGAGAAAAAAAAAGAATTTCCATAGGTCCAAAATAATTTTAAAAACTGCGCAGTTTTCTAAACTTTCATAATAACACAAAAAAACATGTACTTAATAGGCCATTATTTTCTGTAATCGCTCCACTAAAGTGGTAAGTCGGAGATTCCGTTACATGTTTTTGACTTTCTTAGGACTAAGTAATATTTGCAATCCCCTAAGTTTACGTTATGTAGAACACATTTAGAGACAATAACTGAAAAGTTTTTTTTATCCACAACGTGGAAGCTCTTGCTCTTCATGTGGTATACAAAAAGGAATATGAAAATTTTGATGATAAACCATATTAGAATGTAAGAAGCTTTTGTAAATTTACGAATAATTGTTTNATTATTTTGGACCTATGGAAATTCTTTTTTTTTCTCATACATTTCAGTTGAAAATTTTAGAATGTTCTGCTAAAAGCATATTTTTTATGTTTCTAGCAAAAATTTTGTATCTTGCATCAAAGATAGGAAGGTGATTATTTTTTTCAAATATCTGCAACTAATAGGGAATCTGTAAAAAAAAAGAAATCTGAGAAAAGTCAACCCAAAAAAAAGATAAAAAAAAATTAAGCCACTAGGTCATGAAATTTGAAAAAATCACAAAATTAACGATAACTTCTAAACTACGAAAAATCGTAGAACATACATGGGGGTGAAATCGATAGGTCTAGTCCTCACCTATCACCTGCCTTCGGCTTGACACCTTACAAGAAACACCCTGTATATCATTTACTATCGTAGTTAAACGATGTTGGTTATTGCGCAAATAGATAATGTTACTGAAACAACATTTCCACACTAATAAAATTTCTAAAAATGTGTAATATCATCCGCTGAGAAATCTTATTACATCCGGAACGAGTGTAATATTTTGAGCGCTGTATTTAATTACATGTTGCCGTTATGAGCGAAAACAAAGCGTTTTTTGTTTGTTTCCGCAATTCCGTGTTACACCTCGTGCTCTAATGTTAGTTTTTTGTAACATACGAACATAAATATGTAAGTACCCGTTGCAATTTCTGAATGTTATCGTAGTTGGCAAAACAAATGACAATTCATACTGAATCATATTTTTTTGTGAGTATCATTTTGCGAATGCTTGCCTTTCTTTAACGTTATATGACAGCAATACTGACAAGGTGCAGTAGGTACCTATTATTTAATAAACCAATTAACTGTTCAATGAACTCGTTAATAAAACGGCTTCGATCAGTCGATCACAAGTTAATTATTTGATACAGTAATAATAATTACGCTCTATGTAACGCAAGGTGCGTAATGGCGTGTGAGAACTTGATTGTGTATCAAATTATGTTTTTATTTGTATATTTTCTTAATCACTATCTAATGTACCTAGAGATTAATTGTCTAAGACTAGACTAGACTGAAAACATTACTTAATTGCACGTAACGTAAAGATAGATTTCGCACTTGTATTTCGTCAGAAGCATGTCAAAAGATTTGCAAATTAAAACACATTAGCAGAGAGCTTATATGTATAGGAGCTTTCCGTTAATGCAAGCGAGATTCGACACCGGTCGTCACGTGGCAACGGCGTTACATCACTGACGCCTGGGTGTCTCGTAATCACCGTCTGCGGTCGAAAACGTGACGGCTGGTATTCCTTTGACTAGATAAGATTTTAAGAAGAGAAGAGGCCGTGGAATTTGTTGTGAAAAAACAAAAGACTACGCGTTTTTTGGAATACATAGTTTATTTTTAAGAATTTGTTCTAAAAACAAAAGAATGTCCTTTTAGAATGCATTTAATACTTAGATCACATTTAGCACTACAAATAACATTCAATAACTTTGTTAGTCCTTAGGGAATCTCAATGAAGTAGCTTAATGTGCATAAAACATACATCGAAAAGCAATCTATTTTATGTAGTCTAGATAAAGTTAAACCTTAGTTGACCAAAAAAGTTTGGTCTAAAGTCTAGAGGGAAATCACGTCATGTTTTTAGCAAGAAACAGTTTTGGATTTCTTTAAAAATGTACATCTCTACCATAGATCTATGTTTTACATATTAAATTTGAGACTCGAACAATTAAATAAATGTATTTACTATTAGGTTGTGGCTATTTACTATAAAAACAATTGATTAAACTGCAACGTTAACATGTCAAAGTTATGTAGCACGACATTAATGATTACAAAGAAACATCGAATTATCTTTAAACAAAAAAGGTTGTAACGATTATTACCTCATTACGTCAGTCATTTAATTATTAAGAATAAAAAGTAAATAACTATGTACCTACTGGATATAATGAAGCAATCTGTGAATCATGCAGAATGTAAAAAGTCATTGTGAAACCTTTCAATTACTCATTTTCGTTAGAGGATTATTTCACAGACAATTCCAATTAACACTAGGCATTTATAAAAATCTTGTTAAATAAATAATTCGTGGTTGGAACGGTTAATGAAGTGTTATGCAAAAACGCCGTAATCAATTTTGTTACGGTTATTTTATGGTCATTTTGTAGCGTAATCTAATCGCGTGCAGTGAACCGCATGCAATCATCATTTTGATTGGAAGAATTATAAGTAGTTGTAACCTACATATGACTGCCTGGCCTAGTGGTTTCTTAACGGACCGTTATGCCAAAGGACGCGGGTTTGACTCCTTGATTTGAACTTTAAAGCAAAAACTTTTGCGTAAGGATGGTTTAGACTCTTTAGACTAAACTTTTTGGAAATTTGACAAATAATTCGTTGGAGCAAATCCAGCTTATAATGTTTCACTGATTGTTAAATGGGTAGTTCTACAAATCAGGGAATTTTACGGGGCTCAACCTGCAGCTCCTTAAATTACCAATTAATAGTTCTCGTTTTAGGGTATTAATAAAGTTTAACTCACATAGTACTTGGTCACTGAATTTCAACACGTTTTAATAAAAACATCCCAGACAAAAATGGCATCAAATGGGAAAAATTCTCATTTCCCTGTGGGGTGACATTACAGAATTCATGATGTAAATCACAATAAAAAATATATAAAAATATAATTAGTCAAAAATAACATTGTATTGAATACTTTCAATCTTTATATTACACTAATGGTTACTACCATTAGTGTATCTTTCATTTAACCTATATGGATTATGTTTGAATTCCCTATTTACATAATTTTTTGATTGCTGAACAAAGGCGACACGAATTAAGTATCACTTCCCTGCCACCTATAAACACGTTAAAATTTGTAACAAAACAAAGGGTAAGACACGTTGTCGTTCTTATGTATTTAAGTATGCAGTTAAGTTCGCCTAGTGAAACGTTTATTTCGCCCAAATCGTCAGTCAGTTAGACGCAGCTACGCTGTTATCATCGTCTGTCGTGTCTGGGCCAGACAACTTCTCACTCATCTGTTACGTATTTATAACAGTATTTTATATTATTTTAGGGCAATTATGAAACAATATTGTCAAACTCGCTTGCGTCCATTGACTGATAATATTAAATTTGATATGAAGTTTATATAATTCATGATTTTGGCAAAATACATCAAAAATCTCACTTCCCTGTGTATCATTTCCCTGGGTTTACGAAGAAAATGGAAAAGTTAATATCGACTAACCAGCAAAACTTACTGCCATATAAAGGCATTTTACAAATACACTAAGTGTAGGCAAATGCATACACTGGATACTCCATTTTAACTTGCTTGACTCTATACAAACTTTTAGCTGTTTTTGCAGTAACGTGTGCGAGCACTTCCAAATAGGCATCGTAAAATATTCTTCCATGAAAGCAAATGTTGATGACGCTAAACTGAATCTGAAACTGAGACCTACTGGGCACTACTGTGCCTGCAACACCAGTATTTTGATTCATCAGACTTGGTTGACCTTACGAGTGTACTGGGACTGAATGAACATTGATGATCCTGATGGATTGCTGGAGATGCCGAAAATAGATACTAACGAATTGTTTCCAGTCGAAGAAAAGCGTCGAGGAAAGAAGAGGAAGATAATAGAAGGAGATACAAATAGTAGGGAAAAGTCAAAGAGATCAGGTGACGGAAAAAGAAGCAACCTAAATGAGTTCCATGTTCAATTGATAGTGGACCTTTATGATGCACATGAAAGTATTTTTTATTATTTTTAAAATAAAGACTATAAACTCAAATGCATCTTTCAGTTAAATTTTCACTATCCTGTATATGTTCTCACTTCCCTGTCCATCGAAAATAGAAAAACCGCTATAAAATCAATATTTATCATAATTTTGTCTGGCCCGTTAAAAATTGGATATGTTGTGGTATATTCTCGGTCTTTAGTCACTGTTTATACTGATTACTAACAAAAACTGGAGATTCATTTTATGGTCCTAAATAATTCCACCGTGAGTAGAACTACCCAAATGTAGGTTACCTAATAGTTATCTAATTCGTTTAGTATTAATTATCTAGTTCGTTCAGAAATCGGTCATAGATTTAGATCCAATTACGTTCTGCCGGAAACTTTAAAGG